CGGGGGCAGGGGAAGGCAGAGGGCACAGGCAACTGAGCTTCCTCAGCGATGTGGTACAGGTGTGGTCAGCCCTCTCCCCCAACCCCATCCAGCCCACAGCTGCCAGTGTAGTGCTCTGCATGGGACCAAGCTCTGCCTACTCCTACCTGGAGGTAGCCCATGTCCTGCTCCCATCTGTTCCTGCCCCACATCCACCAACAGCACCATCCTGGCCCCAGCCCCAGCCCCAGCCGACAAGAATAGCTTCCTGCTGGCCACTCGAGTACTGCTTGGTTCCCCAGGGTAAGTTACTGCAAGTTAGCTTTCACTCAGCAAGGGGTAAGAGCATGTACATGGGCACCTACAATTTACAAAGGGGTAAAAAGGGACTGGGGCTTTACCACATGGAATAGATGACATGTGGTAAAGCCCCAGTCCCTTTTTACCCCTTTGTAAATTGTTTCCATGTCCACTCACTACATGCCAGATTGCAACAGTTTAATTTAATGTGTGATCTTAAACTGATTTGAATTCAGTGTCCACACAACCGTTTACATGAGAATTCTTTTGTTTTAAGTAAAAGTGCTCAGGAATGACTTTAAACTCAAAATAAGGCAACCAGACAAGGCAGCACTGATTTAATTGAATTCATTACTAATGTATATGGATAAGGCATAAGCAAGGAGCATCAGGCTCCCAACTTTCTCTCGTTCTGCATCTCTATTTTCCCTCCACGTGCTGCCCACACAGCATCAGTTAAAGAAGATGTGGCACAGCTGGGAGCTGTTTTGCTTATGCCACATCTTTAAATAATCCTTAAGTCCAGTTTTGCTTAAATGAAATACTCTGGATCTACAGCAGCTCTGCTCAATTAGAGATTCAGGCCCAGAGATTCCACTATCACCATCTTAAAGCTTATGCTTGTTATCAGCAAATACAAACCAAAATCATCCAGCTACTCACCTAAAACCTCTTGAGCTGCAACCACTAGAGGGTCACTCCAGGGTCCACACCCAGCTGAGTTCAGTATACACACTCTGATGATGAGGTCTTTTAGAGGATTCCATGTTGTAAGATTGGCTGTTGTCTCCTGCACTATCATCTCTCCCTGAAAGCAGAAAACAAAAGTAGTCACCTATACTCAGAGGAACCTATTTTGGACTTGCCATCTCTGGAAATTGTTAAGAGCAAGTTAGATAGACACTTGGCTGGAATGGTTTAGCCAGGGATGATCCTGGCTTGAACACAGGGATGGATTAGATGACCTCATGAAGTCCCTTCCAGCCCTATTTTCTTATGATCCTGTTTTTTATTAAAGCAGATCATTCTGTGCAGAGTTTAGAGTTAAGTCTGGGAATAAGGATTCCTGAGTTCTAGTTCTGGTTCTGCCACATTTCCTTAGGCCAGGGGTTGGCAACCTATGGCCCATAGGCCAGATTTGGCCCACATATGCATGGCTTTGGCAACATTTGGCAGCTGGGGATGCCTTCTGCCAGTGTTCTCCTTGTGCAGCCACAGGGCTGAATGCCAGTTGTGGCAGGGTCCTGCCCTCTTCTGCCCCAGGTGGATCTTTCTGATCTGCAGCTGGAAAACATTGCCTACCCTTGACTTAAGCCAAGAGCTATTGGCCTTTTTCAACTCAAGGATCCCTTTGGAAAATGCCAACTCATACTTTTGACCCATCTTTTGACCACAGGGAAATATTTAAAAAATTCTGTTGTAAACAACTCTGAAAGATCACAGTAGGTCAGAAGGTTTTTGACATTATAGGTTCCTATTTGAAATTTCTGGGCTGCTCCCTAAAGTCATGCATAGGTGCCTGCACAACTAACAGTGCCAATATTGTATAGCACTGTGTCACTTCATGGCACCCTGGGGTGCCGTTGCATCCTGATTGAGAATCATTACCTTAGGCTTCTCTTTCTACATTTTCCTTTCACTGTCTCTGAAAGAGCCTTTATCTTCCTAAGCTATAAGAATACCATGTAGCTTAGTTAAATATCTTGGATCTTTGCATGAAAGTTGCTATAGAAATGTGTTTTTACCCTTTTAAAATATACAATTCCTTCTTCAGTTTCAAGCACACAAAGCTGGTTTCAAATGCTGCAGAGCCACTGCCCGTTTTCATGGAAGAGTAAGTTTAATTTGTTTTAATGTTGCTCAAATTCCAGGACAACATTCATGTTCAAGGTTCACTTAAAAAGACATGACAAGGTACTGTCCATAATTTTAAAAGAACCTTTTCACACACCCCACAACAGACACTTGAAAATCTGAATCCATTTGGCTTCCAATACTGGGCTCAGTTTTCCACACTCACTGATACAGTTCAGGAAGAGCCCCACTCCAGGCAACTGAACTCTACTGGGGTAAGACTGGTGCATATGAGGGCAGAAATAGATCCATTTTCCTCTCCCTTTGTCTGCCATTATAGGGCTACTGGCAAAACAAATATAACTTAAAGAAAAAGCATCTGCTTGGGTTGAAAAACTACCATAAATCATGTAAACTTCGAAAGCAGGAACAATGAAAACTAAGCAATGGAGGCTGAATCTGGAACCCAGACAATAGCTAGGGTCTATGTGAGGGGTAGGCAAAATGGCAGATCCATTTCCCAGCTGCCCCTGCCTGCGCTGCTGCAGCTGGTTTCCATGGCAACATCAGCAGTGGTGGCACCATGATAGTGAGGGGCAAGTTTCCAGAGACCGGGTCCCAGCAGCACTAGCAGGGTGTACAGCAGAGTGGGGAGCTGCCCCGTGGCTGGGGCTGGCATTTTGCATACCCCTGCCCAGGTCACATAGGCAGAGGACTGCAGCTCTGCCCCAGCTCTGGACCACTGTCACCGCTGCAAGATCCTAGGCCCAAAGCAGCTCCCCACCCAGCTGCATGCCCTGTCAGCACTGCTGGAGCTGGTCTCCATGGAAACCCTGGCCCTAAGTCATCATGGTGCCACCACTGCTGGGGTCTCCATGGAAACCTATCACAGTGACATGGGAAGGTGCTGCTGGGCAATGGAGCCTGCCACTTTGCCCGTCCCTGGTCTACGCTCTAGTCAGCTGCAGGGGTGCTGGCAGGGGCTGGGACATCTGCAGTGGCTGTAGCAACCAGGCTGGCAGCAGTGGCAGTTGCCATTCATATGTACCACCTAAGTGTCCACTGCACATTATGCTCCTGCTAGAGCCTGTCACCTCACCAGGGACCCTTTGAACTGCCAATGACCAAACAAATACAAGATGTTAAAGCTTTCTTCTAACTTAATTTGCAGTATAACGTGCATTGTTTAGATAATCACTGGTATTTAGGGGGAAAAATATCTGACATCATAGAGGGGCCAGATATTCCCCTCAGGTTGAGCTGTGTTTTGGGGCAGGATCTTGAGGGAAGAGGTAGTTTTGCATCTTTTCTGTATTCCCCTGAGGCAGGGAGCAGCTGGGAACAGACTTGGCTCTCAGTATAAAAATTGGAGAGTGGGGCTGCTTTAACTTAAATCATGTACAAATGTTCAATTCTAGCAGTGGAAGCTTTTCACCACAGTGGAAATTTTCCACTGGTAGAAGCGATTCTGGGAGATGACGCAGTACAAGTGTTCAGTCTAGTCACTCCTTTTCCCCTGCTCCCTGCACCTTCCTGAGACTGGGGTGATCCCAGCTGGGGAAAGCATGGTCTAATGCAGTCCTCCTGTTCCTAGAGGGACTGGAACAGCAGAGCAAAGCCCTCTACCTGCTACTCACTCTGGGAACTCTGGTGCAAGAAGCAGGCATTGGGTTCCCAGTACCACTCCCTCTGCTTGGTTCCCTATGTCTGGGAGCCAAATGGAGAGAGAAGTGGGGCAAATCCCCCTGCCTGCTTCTCATGCTGGGGATTCTGGAGTGGGAAGCAGGCAGCTGCTGCTCCTCTCCCATTCTGGTCTTCAGGGAAAAATGTTACCATCTCCACATAGTAATTCTATCCAAATGATATTGGGGGGGGGGTGGAAAAAATCGGACTTCAACCAACCTTAAAAAGACCAAGCAATCAATCAGTCTGAAGGACTGTGCTTTACCCACCTGCCTTCTAATACAGCCACCAGCCTGGTTTATTCTCTCCCCCACATGCACGTACACAGCATGTCTGCACACAAAGAACTCCCACTAATTTCCATCAACTCTGTTTACCAATTTATTTTTGGACATCATTGGGAATTTGGGGTGAGCAAAGAATACAGGGCTGAGCCCAAACACACTAACCCAGATCCTTAGGTGGTGTCCATCTGTGTAGGCCCAATAAAATCCAGGGAGCAATTCTGGCTTACACCAGCTGAAAACCTAGTCTACTGTTTGCGTAGAGAAAGTAGCATAGCTGAAGAGGAGGCAGGGGCAAAAATAATGGGGAGGTAAGGAGGAGAGACCAGGACAGAGATCCTAGGTGCTGCCTTTGGGGAGGTACATGGAAGTAGCTGCTGCCACATGGTGTCTGGCTACGCCACCATCATCAGCACCACAGCAGCTGGCACTGCCTCATGCACCCTCACTGCCCTGCTGAATCTCTGGGAGAAAAATAATATAAGAGACAGGGTGGTCTAGAAACCTCAATTTTAACACTCCCAGTCACAAGTCAGCTGCTAGTCTCTCCACTATTTATTTCTCAGTTACCTGAGTGACATTGTCTTGACTCCACTCTAGTCTGTATCCCAGTAGATTTTCCTTCATTATTTCTGGCGCCACTCCTTCCCACTCCAAAATCAGGCTAGATTCTCCTTGGATGACATGGACATTTTGTGGGATACTGCTTGGAGCTAAAAATGGAGGATAGCGAGTTAATCATTCTACACAGATAAACACCCGTTGCACCCATGGGAACCATAAAT